TGTGCCCGGTATATGGCAATAGGCTCACCCCCTATTACATGGGACTCATAACATAAATAGTGAAAAGTGGGTGTTACTTCTATGTGCACCTCTGCCTACCCCTTCGGGGATAAAAGGCGTGATGTTATGTTATTATGACCTACACATGTTTTGGCAAATAAAATAATCTTTATCTTTACATACTTTGTATTTCAATAACATTTTTATATAACTCTTGAATTTTTAGTAGATTCACATTAAACATCTATACTATAGGTTAAGGAGTACTATAGCATTGAAGAGGACCAGTAAGCTCCTCTTTAAGATATTTGATAACGGCTGTTCTTTAGGTGCTTCCGTATCAAGGACGTTCAATTACCGGCTTATTTGAAGCTCAAGGGGAATGCACGAGAGAAACTTTACAGCCTCGACAATAATGTTATCATAATCAAACTAGACCAATCAATATAAAAATCTAAATACCAAAGATGTATAGATTACAAAACGGTAAATTTATCGTCCATCAAACACGCGAATGTAAAGCACCTCTCGTTGTACAACCAGATTCAGTGAACGCCTTCAGAGCGCGTCATTAATTTAGATTGGCGGAGCACTTCGATTGTTTATTCCATTAAACTTATATCGTTGTTGGGAAACTCGCACCGTTCAGCGTTCGTTGGGAGTTGCCCATAGAGTTCACGGAGCTGTGTTGCGCTCGCGACGGACAATGCACGAAGTCACCTTACGCTGACCTTTTACGTAAATAACTTTAGAAAGTTACCGGTAATTGTAATTACGGCTATTTCGTTCTTACAATTTCTATGTGTAGTTCTATTGGAAATTTCTAGACCCATGTATATCGGCTAGACATGAAATTGTTATTTACTTACTTCGAAAGTTCTTCGTAGTTCTCATCAATATTATATTTATTGAACGTTTATATGGGCCTTCAATTTTAGTTCTATTTCTCCCCTCCTAATAATAATTAGCGTAGGACTCGACTAGTTTCAAGCCATGCTAGAGGCTCATATTTATGAGCAGGATTCCGCGACCCGCGACTCGGCGACTGTCACGCTGTTACTGGTGCACATAGTAATCTACTATATAAAAATAAGTCGGGTTTTCCTTCCTGACGCTATAACTCCAGAACGCACTAACCGATTTCCACGGTTTTGCATGCGTTGGAAATGTCTCGGGCTCCGTGAGGTTTATTGCAGAGGAAATTCAGGAAAAAAAATACCTTCATCTTTTAATCACCAAACGAAATGTTACATAAAACGAAGCCATCTGGTAGCGAAACGGAGTTTGTCGGGTTTGCTAGGTAATTTAAAATGTTTCACGAAAGTTTTAATATAAATATTTAGCGTATTTAATAAGGACCTTCTCTATAATTACCTATGTCATATCGTTAGTGTTGTTCTACTTTATTTGCAAAGTTATTTCATTTTTATCTCCAAATAACACATTAGACAAATACTAGTATGCAAATAAGCTGATAAAACATCACCTCGATGTTGTAAAAGTGAGAAACGGGGTCACGGCTTAGTACTGCAGGTGATGCATTGGCACTGAGTTACTTAGCTAATCGTATGCATCGATGCGGCTTAAACACAATGATAATTCACCGGCTGCTTTAATAGCTGGCTTAGTTTAGACTTTCGAAATCGGGCATTGCGATTAAATATGGTTTATAGCCTTTGCAGAAGGGATAGTTTTTTTTTATTTGTATTTCGGAATACATAATATGTGTAGCATACATTATAATGAAATCCGTCATCGTTACCAACATGATTAAAGGCTCCAATGTCTTAAAAATATTTGTTGTGTGCCCATTACGTCAGTGGTCCAACAAGCAAGCAATTTACGACCAAATTACCGTACAAACACCTTAGTCATTAGTTACATAATTGCTTAACTATATCAATTACAGCTGAATCTAGAACGTTTCGTTCGTTAAATATGTAATTATTTGCATAAAACCAGTATTGTACACAAATTAATTAGTAATTGAAAATTGATTTCCATTAAAGAGTTAATTTATTTAAATTGCATCCCACACGTTAGTTGAGAACGTTCCGAACTGGCTACCGGTCGGTCTGCTCGAATTAATTTATCAAATGGACGCTTCGCTGTAATTACAGACTGGCATAATTAATTCAATATTAGGACGACGTGGATTATTTTGGGAAATTGTTTTGTGTTGCGGAATAACTTTCTAATGATATTGGGAGATATATTGTGGATAAGCAAACGTAATTTATAACGAGCTAGGAATATTTAATTTTTCATTCAATTTGCAAGAGTTAAAAACGCTTATATCAGTGCAAAATTATACTTGTTTTGTTCTTTAATAAATCCTTCATTATGGAAGAGCCATGTTTCGACACAAATGGGCTGGCTAGACCGGAGTGATAGCCTCACTGAAAACCGACATGAAACAACGCTAGTGTTGTGTTACATCGTTTGAGTAAGGTTACCGGAGGCCCAATTACCCCCTCTCCAATATCCCCAATCCCTAAATCTCTAACGATCCTCAATTTCCTAATCCCCAAAAGGCCGGTTACGTACTTGTAACGCCTGGTGTTCCCGGTGTCCATGGGCGGCCGATTGCTTCTCATCAGGTGATCCGTCTGCTCATTTACCGGTTTATCCACATAACAAAATTTCAGCTGTGCTTTCTGTAGTAGCCTATTTCTTTTCCTCTCTTCTAGTGGAGTGCAGTGCTCTACGGTTTACGTGTAACGTAATTTCAATTAGAAGCACAAATTTGTTACAACTTTCATGTACTTGGCATGGAATGAATTTCCTTCCCTAGAACTGTTTACCTATACAAAATACATAACATCACACCTTTTAACCCCGAAGGGGTAGGCAGAGGTGCACATTACGGCACTTAATGCCACCTATACAAAATATTACAATAAAAATTGTACCTTAATATAGTAAATACTAATTTTTGTTTCATTTTCTTCTAGTTTAATTTATCTGTATCATTTTAATTGTGTGATGTGATACGGTACGGCAGGTGTTGGTGAGTAGCCCGGATGCGGCGGCGACGCGCGCGCATGGCCCCGCCCCCCGTGCTAGCCATGCGGCGCGCTAGCTGAACGCCGGCGCCGGCGGTGCATGTACGCGGCGGCGGGCGGCGCCTCGCTCGCGGGCCGTAAGGTAACTGAAACTTTTATTTACCTCTACATAGGTATTTAGATAAATAATAAATCTGAGATCATAAGCATACTTTTAATGTAATATTTACCTCAGTTATGTTATGAGCCACATAAAGTGCATCATCCATTTTGTGTCAATACTGAGAATTTATGAAATCTGAAACTTCAATATCAGTCTATCCGATCTGGAAATCAAACTTGAAATAGCTCGGTCGGTAGTGGCAAATGAACTAGATAATTCGTAATACTTGATGTTAGTTTTATAGATTGAGCTCTTCTACATATTTAGAGTTATGTAGGTGTTGCTGATCATAATTATTAAAGGGAGTGTGGTGTGTTGTTGCGCAGGCGCGCCAGCACGGCCGCCAGCCCGCGCCGCCGAGCCCGCGGCCGCACAGCCCGCTCCATCCCGCGCCCACCGGCGTACGCGCCTACTCCTGCCAGCACTGGGAGTCCCGCCTCGCCGCGCCTCCGTCCCGCGTCTCCGCGCCCCTCTCCGACCCGCCCTCGCCATGCGAACTCATCGAGGTACACAGCTACAGTACTACCTATTGAAAACATCAGACATCACACAGAAATGATCGCAGCAAATCGATTACAAATTATTCGCTTGTCAACAAGCAATTTTCCGTGACTAGCCCCGACTTGTTTACATGATTGGATACTGCAAGTTGTTGGCAAGATAATTATCATATAGCTACTCATATACAAATACTTGCTTATTGAAAGTCTTTTACTAATGCATTTATTAAGTTGATCTTATCTGACCTACTGACTATTTTCACAAACTAAAATATTCTATTTTACATTTAGTAAGCACGTTATTCAGTATTCGAGCATTTCTTTCTGATGTCCGATGTTTGTCAATAATGTTCAGTACTGTAAATATGTGTTCAGTGTACACTAGCGTAAGCATGGTATCTCATTATATGTGTTGTGTATGTACAGAGGCCCATTGTGCCTCGCATCTATGCTCTAGAGGTAAGCAATAGTAGCTGCGCTGGTATGTATGTCGGTATGTATTCAATGTTCAATGTGTTCCATAGCTAGTAAATGTAAGCATGTACTGAGACAATGCAACGTATATGGGGAACGTCACCTTTTATGAATCGCGAATGATCCGTAATTAGCCTCTCGTTGACAAGAATGTGTGTTTAGCTCGTGTTAGAGACCGTTTAACATGTGTTACTGTGAAGTGTTATTGAGTGCAGTGATCAAAGTGGGCCGGCCATGAAACTGCGACACCCAGTGAACACTAGCGTCCGATGGCAGGTGTCGAAGAACCAGAGACTGCGGCTCGACGTGCGGAACGAAACATGAGCGATACTTGTCACAAACACTCCGAACTAAACAATTAAAACAACACTAAAACCGCCAAATTGCGCTTGCTTCCATAACGTATTCTCTTTCACATATCGTAAACCTAAGATCGACCACTTTATAATTATAGTTAAATTTTAAATAAATAATTAGATATAACTTAAAATAGTTTCGCGCCTTTCTTGTGCCTATCTCAATCTAATTCTAAAGCATTCTAAAGTGAGATTTAATAATTGAAAGTAATTAATTCTGTGATGGGATTAACATAAGAGTGATATCGACGTTTGATGTGTATATAGTCTTTATCTCTTAAACGCTAGTTAGGAGTAGAGTAGATGCGCTAGAAGTAGATCTTCTCTATAAAAGTTACTAAAAGACTAGTGAAAGGTGGTCGATTCGCGTTAACTTTAACAAGTATAAGTGAGTGGACAGACGTGAGTGGAGCAAAGTGCATAGAGGATAGCCCGCGAGCTGTCCGGGGCCCCTGGCTGAGACTTGTGGCAGCGCGTATCAACGGCCACAAACCTGGCAAGTATGCAGGCAGCTCTTATGCTAAGAAGCAAATCGCGGGAGAGAAGAAAACAGCGTTTAAAGAGAGGAATCAAGCACGACTTGCCGAGCAACATAGCGACCAAACTGATCGCGCCCTTCCCGAGATACCCTCCGGCGTCATGGGTATGTACTTGCTAACTTCTTAAATGAGACGTGTGGTTGCATGCTGAATGGTAGAAACGATTAATGCGTATTATGTGGATGTTCTATCGTAATACCTTCTTATGTGCTTAATTCTTATTGATATACCTGTACCTAAAACATTATGACATCCTTCCTTATATTTTGATTGATATTGCAACCAGGATGCTAAAGCTTGTGTTGTAGGTATGCTTATGACCATGATCAATGCTATCTGGGTTTAACATCAAGTATAATATTATACGAGTAATTTTTTGGCAAAATGAAAAACATAATGTTCGATAAAATTAAGCACAAAAGAGTTTATATTAAGTTCGATGTGAAAAGAGGTTCGATAATAGTAGGAATGCAGCATGGAAGTAACGTGTTTACTATCGCTTAATGAAGTGTTAGCGTATGTTCTGTAGGTGGTGACTCACTCATATATTACTCTAAGTTAATATCGTGCTTAATTGACCTGGCTGGTCAAACTATGCTAAATGACGTATTCGATAAGAATATTTATTTTACTTTCTTAGAAATGAAGAAGGTAATAATTTTATTGTGAGATTTTAAATTTTCAGACTTGAAAATCGCCATTCGTAGCGCTATTCCGTTGTTTTACAATTATCTAACCTATGGCCTATTAAAACTCGATACGAATAATGCTAAATTGCTAAACTTATCTTTCTAAATGCATATGGTATTCGCAAATCTAATATTAATTTCCGTCCGCCGACCGTCGTTAGCGTTGAACAGTCTTCCGATGGCCGTGCAATTTAATTATTGTATTAAGGTAATATTCCAATGTTTATCTCACAATCCCAATTTAAAGTGTAAAACTTGAGTTTTACTAAACTTAAATAGGTAACTATTATAACTTGGATTATATATTATAACTTCATATTGGTATTTTACAATGTTAAGGACATTATCTCAGAAATACGTGTTGTGTGTAGTTTAGCACAAACAGAGCAGTGATTACGACCAAAGGCACATAAAATTGATATTTTTAGTGTCTATAAATTGAACTGCTCCCCAACCACTGCGATAACCACATGCTCTTTGAATATTCATATATTTGATGTTAAAAACCTTCTTTTTACAAATTTTAAAAAGCTCCAAAGTTTTATCGCCCTAATAGCACTTGTTTTTTCAACAATTCCGCTGACTGTTTCGTTTTTCCGGTACATAAGTTAGTAGGTAATGCATACGTATTTAGTGGCGACATGTTTGGTTTGGTTTGAATAGGTTAGGTATAATTTAGTTACTTTAATTTTTAGATCAATTACAACTTATTCAACTGATAGATTCTACTAATGTGGTCGCAGAAATATGCAAAAGGGTTTCTACTATACCTCTATACGAATTAATAACTCGTCACACGACAATGGTGACGTCGACTATTAGCAAATCCAATACGACAATCAATTATAAATATCTAATAGGAAATTTCGAGATTTTGAATTCTAATCCTTCATTAATATTCCTTAATTCAATTCATTCTTATCAGAACGTTAAAATATCTAAGGATATATAGCCCAATACTATGTTAGAATCATTTTGAGAAGAGTTTTTTAAAATCAGTAAAATGCATATAAAACAATTGTCACACACAACATAATTATATTAGAGAGCCAATATATTCAAAAGTTCTCTGCTTACAATGATGAAATACGTAGATTTCAAGCGAGGAGACTATAAAAATGAGTGATGGTTGCCCACTTAGTATGTACGGCGAATGGCTAGGCCATTTATCAGAAGAGTTGTCCTCGCGCGCGAGCTCGTTGACTGTACGGGGCGGATGGTACACCGTAGCTTAATCCTAAAAGAAATAATCGGAATGGATATCAAAATACAAACTTTATGTGACGAAATGTTTTTAAATATGGACTGATTTAGGTATAGCCACATGTTTGAATTGACACGTATACTTTAAATTAAGTGTTTATGTGACTGTGTGTAGAATCAAAATTATATTTTTAAAGGGGCATAATATTTTTAGACTTTTCAATAATGTTCAATTATTTTTACGAAAAGTAGTCTTTAAGTTACGGTGTCCCCTCCAAGCTTTACGCCAGCCTGCCGGCTTTTGTTTCACGGCTCGCAGCTCGCAGCTGGGACACAATACAAATAAGTACTTACTCGCAGCTAGTTTGTAGTCTTTGTGTACGTTCCACTTTCAGGAGTTATCAAGTATGGAAAGTTTGTTTTGTGATTTTGAATCGTAATGTCTACAATTTAGGAATAGTTTTCGGTTGTGGATTTATTTGTGTTTTGCCATTTAGTGACTCTAGGCTTAAACGTTAAAGTTTAGAGGTTTTTTAGTTGTTGTGCCTTTGTTTCTGGTTCGTTAGTTTACACATTGTTGCGAATTGTAGACTCATTTTTATTATTAAACTACCAAAATGATGACTGTAATAGAATTAGGGGCTGAGGATTTGTTAGGTTTTCGATAAGCAACACTATGTAGTCTCTAGTTATATTTTCACTTTTGATCTTTCATTTCTTCACACCTAATTTCATGATATAACTTGCAATTTGGTCTACATTACGAGAAAATAACAACAATATAATGTCAATAACATTATCAACAAACGACCCACATGTGCCCTGAAATAAACACTGCAATAAAGATGGATGCCGTTTGGTGCAGTCTCCGAGATAAATAATGCCTTTCCCTGAACCGGAGTGACACCATTCTAAGTGAACGCACATAATTATCTAGGTAAGTAGGAAAGGACTGGTCACAGTGTAAAGATAAAGCAGTAGGTCGACTTTCATTTTTACTGACGGTACGATACGTTTACTGTTGAACAAACTTCATCTGTACCATTTTAGGCTCCGTGTTTTATTGGACATCTGTTACAATAAATAGGTAGGTAATTTATACATAGAATATCAAGATTAAAATTGCTGATCGCTAAACTCTGAAATTATCCGGAGAAAGTAAAATGTGAAATATCATTTCACTTTGCATTACGGTCGATAACTAGACTAACAGTGAAATGTCCAATAAAAACATGACAAAGCAACCATAGAAGATGTAATTAAGCAATGTAGGTACTATATAGAAGCACATCAATGCTTCATCAACTTAGTTCAATTGTTTCTCTGTCTAAGTGTTTGCTCTGTGGCATAATAGTTCCCTCTAAAAGGAAGGACGTACACTCCGTTGCATATTCCATCACGCGAAATGAGGGCGAGTAATTAGTGAGAGTACATTCTCAGAAATGTTAATTGAATTATCATATTTTCTCTAGTTTTTGGCGTAACTTGCTGTGCAAAATCTCAAGCACCGTGTAAATTGACAGTTGAGTTGTGTCAAGTAGTTGTTATGACAATATTAATACGGTAATGCGTGCATAAAGTTTGTGTTCGTGCCTCCTATCTCAGTGCGGTTTTCTGCTATATGAGTTTGATGATTTAAATTGGGATGATGACAGGGTATGAAAATTAAAAATATAATTAGTCCGTAAGTTAGGTAATGAAAAAATATTAGACACGTGTATTTTTTATCTTATCGTATAATAAATAATACTTAGATAAAACGAATCAAAGTTTAGGAGTTGGGGCTAAAACGTCATTTCTACGCATAAAATGTACATAGAAGTGACGTCACGCGACATATCAGTCATAAGTGTCTAATGATTTAAAATAATCTACCAGACGGACATTAAAATAAAAATTAAAAATCTATCCTATTGTAAACATGAGAGTTTCCTACACTTCTACCTTTATCATAAAAAAAGATAAATAAATCTACCTACTACGATATCCGGGTCTATCTAAACATTAAAAAAACATTGCCTCACACTAGGATTTTCTCCTGTGTCGTGGGTGAGTTTACAAACATACAATTTCATATACACTAGACACCCAGCCCAGGAAAAACAATTTGTGCATCACACAAAGAGTTGCTCCGTGCGGGAATCGAACCCGTGACACGTCGCGTGGCAGCCGGTTGCCCCGGTACTGCACCAACTGTGCCGTCAATTTATTCTAGTCTATCTAAACAGGTAAATGTATTGCCATCTTAAGTCTTCTTAGTTTAAAAGGCAATGTATGAAAATCGCGAGTTGTTGCACCTACAAAAAATACCATAAACATAAAAATGATCTCATTTAGGTACTTGATATCATATAAATATCTGTATAAGTAAAACGGTTGAAAAGATTTCATTAAAAACTTTCTCAAAATTGTATTCGAAATGAGTGTCCGTAGGCAGTTAGTGTAGTACCTAAGTAATTATGTGAGTATCGTGGGTGGCAGCGACCTTCAGTTTGGGCTCGACTGTGCCTGGTTTCCGATGGTACCCGACATTACTACATATCTCGTAAAAGCAACGCTTACGATTTACCTTACATAGTCTGAATACCGACCAATTGGAAATACGTTTCTATATTTTAGTGTAATGGGTATTAACTATTATTCACCTAACTATTAAATGTGTTATACTGGGTAAATTAGTGTAAAAGTGACGAGGACAGCTTCGAACATTGTGTTTCAAATGTTGATATATAGTTATGCATAATTATAAAAATATCTAAAAGACAATAAAATAATTTTCATTTCTTAAAACACTAACTAAATATTAAATGGTGTTACTCTTAAATCTTAAAGTTAATAACATTAGTGATTAACGTTGTCACGAAATGTCGTGTCGTTAAGTAATGACTTATCCATACACTAATTACAAACTACAAGTACCTTCTGTAGATAAAAACACAAAATTCACTAAAACAGCAAAAGCGACGCAGTGTTAAGATAAAAAGAGCTTTTAAAACCTTTACATTATACCCTAATTACGTCATTTTCCACCAACACCCCTTAAGTAGGACCTTCTATGAAAAATCATTCAGTTTGTAAGCGAGTTTATAAAGCGAGCGAGTGCTGTCAGGCCCATTCAGCTATCGCTAGGAAGCTATTATCGCTCTCAGCCCCACAAGCGCTTTCCAACACCATCACTCAACTTCCATATTCCAAAACACACCTTACTACCT